TACACTTTAAGACTAATTATATATATTTTTTTAAATAATATTTCTCATGTTACTTTTTATTAATAACTCATTCACGAATAACATGTTAAGATAATTTATATTACAGTGCAAATATTACATTATTCTAATTGAGTGGCCTCAAATGTTAATTCTTTAATACTTGTTGTTTTCATTGATGGTAATATATTTTTAACCAATTAATGCTAACAATTTTTTTGCTAAATCAACATGTTATCATAAATACTGAATAATGCCAATTTTTTTTTTATTAGCGGTAATATTTAATTTTGTCTATTTACTAATGAATTTTGAATTTGAATTTTATTTTATTTACTAAAACATCAAAATGTATGTGAATGTTTTGTTTAGGTATTTCTTGTACTCGTAAAAAAAATTTACTCGAATTTCAACATATATATATATATTTAAATGTTTTAATAAAATGTTAGGGAAAACTTTGATGAATTGTGATAAAATTGCTGTATTTGTGTAAAAATTTCAGTATTTTATATCAAAAACTCGTGTTTAAATAAGTGAATACATTAAAAATTTCATACTGACGTTAAGGATTTTTTCGTACTATTTATTACAGTGTAGTATGTTATATGTGAAACATTTTCTTAATTGTAATAATAGTACTGAAGTTGACAATTTTCTAAAGCATCTAAAAAGTGTCGTTTAAAGCCAATTCACATTTTTTTCAAGACATTTCTTTAAACCAATTCCATTCGCGAAAAGATTTTCTCGAAAATATTGCCCTTCCCATTTAATAATGGATCCCGCACGGCCATAGTTCCCTCTAATGGTTCCTCTGACAGATGACTGATGATGCGTCGTCCCTTCGGTAAAAAGGCTCCACCCAGCCGATCGTGTGTTTGGCAAAAAATAAACTCTTTAACGAGTGGCACTATCTGTGTATCTCGAATGTCATTAATTTAAAAACGGTTGTTGATATCATTGCGTTGGACGTCTCCGTTAAGTCTGGTTTTAATCATGTCAACGTGCGCACTACAGTTGTGCTATCTATCGAAGAAACAATGCTAATAGTTTGTCAGAATATTCTTTTAAAACACAAGTATTAAACTACAGAATTTTCAATTTTACTTTACTATTTCAAATTCGTTATAAAAGCAATTCGTAAATGTTTATTTTGAGTATTTAAATTAATTTTTTGGGCCTCATGGAGTATTTACCAACGAATTATTGAATAGTAGTGTTCCATAGTTTGCTATAAATTTATTTATAATTTTAAAGAGTAATGTTACTAGTATAAGACTAAAATTTTCCATATCGAGTGCTTAAAATAATTTTTAAAATATCTCATTCCAAATTATGTAGTTTAAACAGAATGTTCTTTTTAATGGCAACATAATGTTAGACGCCTTAATGTTATGGTTGATACTACACAAAATATTAATATGTAGTAGTATTAGTCTACATAAATTTTTCAGGCGCACATATTATGTCATTGAAATGCATCATAACATATTAAAATTTAATGTACAAATTGATTGTATCATCATTTTTTTCATTTAAATTGTAATAGCTAAATTTTTGTTTCATTCAATTTTTATCAATTTAAAGAAATTTCTTATAATTAATTTATAACATGAAACGTATAAATGTCTCTGTTTGAACAAAATGTATGTGACACTGAACTAAATAATATAAAAATAACTCAATAATATGATCTTTATCCCCTTAAATCATTAGTATAATGCATTGTAACACTAATTTTATGACTTTGTTTTTTGTGATAATTATGATAAATCTAAAATTAAATTAATCAGAAGTAGACAATATCGTGGAAAAGTAAATAAAGTATGACATTATTTTTTAAAATAAAATATACATTTAATGAATATTTTGTTACCTTTTTGTTTGGTCAAGTTATTAAAGTAAATAGAATACTCAGAAAAAATACGAGTATAACTTTTTATTTTATTTGTTATTATTCCTTTTTTAGTCTTTTACGAAATATAAGACATTTTGCAATTGTTCAACACACGATAGTAGTATGTGAGCATTATACAAGGTGGTTACTAACTGATCATATAGATTATGCTCACGGTAACGATTTTTAGTAAATTGTCGAATGCGAATCAATATGAGTCTTCATATGGTTATTTATTTTCTTTGAAATCAAAATGTATGAACATTATGCACATTATATTATGAAATATTATCAGTAATATTGTTAAATATCCTAATAAACAAAAAAAAAAAAAAGAAAAAATATTGAATAAATTTTATCTCTTATAATTTTCTTGTGAAATTCAATTTGTATTATAACACAATAATTCATAATAATATTAACTGTTCATATTTATGTGTTACGAATATGTCTCAATTGATTAAACTGAGTGTTTTTAAAAGCTATTTACATGATTTACTATTTTTTTTTTTAATATGTTTAATTCACTAGTTAGGCTTCTTGTTCTGATTAACAAAAAAGTATCGCACGTATTTTTAGTTATGCAATTAATATAAATTGAAACAAACCCCATACCATCGCTATAAATAATTATGTTATTATTATTATTATTATTATTATTTGATATGTTTTAATGTTTTCATCCGGACTTTACGATTCTCGTATGTTACTTGGCTATAATTATTTTATTGTACTGGACGAATGAAATGTAAATTTTGGCGATTGTTAAAAATAACATGAAATTGCAACTAAGAAGTTTTAGTTTAAAGCAACGGGCACGAAAGGTACAAAGACACACCACATTGTCATTCTCTAAGAGTAAGAATAACACTATAAGGCATAGCTTTCATCTCTTTCCCTCTTTTGCGATACGTTCTTTGTTGGCTTTCCATCGAGTTTTGCATATTAATTTGGCGTGTCAGGTCTCAGTAGGTTTGAAACTTAGAGCGTCGTGATGAATTTATGTTTCGTTTATTCATGACGTGCTGCGATACAAACCGGTCAACCCTTTAGTGTGTCTGCGTGCCTTCACCCTCTACATTATTATTGCAAAGGGTGCAAAGGAGGTGAAGGTATACAAAACATGATGCGGAAATTAAGCCCCCGGGAATATACCTAACATCTTTAGCCCTCAGCACATACAGGTATGAATTTCTATGGAAATAACTGAAACCAAAAGCGATTCAGCGTTGAAACTTCTGATCCGTCTTGAGAAAAATTTTGTGAAATATTTATATGAAATATCTATTTAAATAAATTATGACGAATTAATCGAACCTGGTAATATAATTTTTTTTATATTCAGTGATCAGTTTATAAACTTGCTATGGGTTGTATAGTTTATGATGTTAATTACACCCGAAGAAAAACCTCAATCAAAATTGATAGAGAAATTTTATCAAGGGTTTATGATAATGTTTTATTAATACGAACAAAATAACTATTCTTATAAATAATTATTGTTCAAGACAAGAAAAAAAAATATCATATTGATAAATGTATCATAGATTCAATAGTAATGATATATTTATCAAATTGAACAATGAATTTATTATATAGATCGAGGTTTTTCTCTGGGTGTATAAATGACAACAATAAATCTTTCTTTAAAATTATACACATGTATTCTTTTTTGCTTAAATTGTATGTTTATAGGGCTTAGTGAAATGCTAATATCTTAAATTATAGTTTTTTTGCTGTGAAGTAACGTTGATAATAATTCGACTTTTGTGATTGATTGTCTTTTAATATATAATACATGATATATAATGAATGTATAATCGTTTCCAGAATATTTGAGCGAATTAAAAGAGGGGGGACATTTCTACGTGGTCTTATCACGTTTAAAGTTGGATCTATTTAGACAATAGGCATTAGTAATTAAAATTGATAAAGCTTGGAGCTAATAAAAGGCAAATACCACTGTGTCGGACAACGCGCTGTGAAATTTGACACGTTTTTCTGTTTGTTCTTGTTTGTAGTCGCCATATGTGTCAAAGGACAAAATAGTTGCTTATTGAATATAATGAACCTAGCGATTCGGCTAATCAACTAGTTAAACGCGCCGAAACGAACCTTTCCACCATTTTTGGGTTTTCTGCAAAAAAAATCAGTTTTTGTCGTGCCGACCTACCGAAATGTCGCCGAATTATCGTTGTTCTATTATAATAAACAACATTATAAAACAATCGTCGTATAGTATTTGGTGAACCGTTGAGATTCTACATTGAGTAAGTCCAATTTTAATTATTATGCGTTAATTAGTTATTAAAGAATAACGTCGAGTTCATTAATGTGGACCCAAAACCGTTTGGGTCCACATTAATTGATCAAAAACATCAATGGTTTTGAAATTATCAACGATCGTTGATAATTTCATATTTTTACGATTAAGTGATCTATAGACTTATTGTACATTGCTTTAAATTTTAAAAAAATTGACATAAAATGTTTAGTGATTAATTTTTATGCGAGTTTGTCGGTTGTTAAAAAATCAGTTTTACGATTATGAAGTTACATACAATCAATACATTAAATTTTATCAATTAGTTTACATACTTTGATTTATTGTTCATGTGTTATGCATTGAACAATTAAGCTGTTACGGGAATAAGATTATTGAATTAAATTGTAAGTAAATTCTAATAAAGAGTTAATGTTGTTGTCGTTTACAAATGAGTTAACATGATTGATTTTAAGAATATTTTTTAAGAGATATTAGGATGTGTCAAATCTCTCATATTTGCAACCGGCGGTGTTAACATTGCGGGGGGGCACATGCAATTCATCCGGTTCATTGTTGTTGAGTCCTCAAAATGTAATTGTTCACTTTAGAGACTGATGCAGTACTTTGCAATATTCCTCCATTTGTTTCGAGCAAATACAAAACTGTAGGATATCCACAGTAGAGAAACAACCCGTTCCGGGGTGGGGGAGGATTTGTTGGTAGGTAACACCTTTTGCCGGGGATCCGGACGGTATGACATACAAGTACACAATGGACGGAATTGATTGACCCGGTGTTTGAGTATAGTAATACAAATTTTCTGTTTTGTATGTTTTGCAGGGGCGGATTTTGCGTATCCAACGCAATCACCGCGATCACCGGCTGCAGTATCGACAGCATTTCAGCCACTATCGCGACCGTCACAGCCGATACTGTCCGACGTGTGGATCGTTCGCAATAATTGCAACGGAAACGCATCCGGTAAAACGCCGTGTCGTCACCAGTTTCCGCACGCCGAATATGACCTACGCGACAAAGGCGCGTGAGTTGTAGTGCAGTGGCAAAACAATAAAACGCTAGTTCAGATCGACAACAGTCTGTGTCGGGTTTTGTGCGATAGTTTTTTTTTAATTCGCGCCGACAAAAAAAACGAGTACTGATTGAGGCCGGCGGGGGGCCGCGATCGTTTTTCCGTAACCGTCGCCAATTACTTAGTCAAAGTGGAGGGCGATTTATTAAACATGAGTTCGTACTTCGCCAACTCGTATATGCCGACCGACATGCGTAACGGTGGTGGCGTCATCGGCGGTGGAGGCGCTGGTGGTGCTGGAATGGAGCACCACCATCATCACGGACAGCAGCATTACGTGGACAACGCGCCGTGTGACCCGACCGCCCGGCAGGGCATACCCCCGCACCNACCCGACCGCCCGGCAGGGCATACCCCCGCACCATTATGTCGGGCCCACGGTCGGTGGTCAACCGCCACAAGGCATACCGTACCCGAGGTTTCCGCCATACGATCGGATGGAAATCCGGCAGGCTGGCTACTACAACGGGCAACAATCGTCCATGGACGGATACAGTAGGCCAGAGTCGCCTACCGGGGGAATGGGCCAGATGACCATGAATGGGCACACACCAGTCGTGTACGCCACATGCAAACTTCAAGCTTCCGTGGCCAACGGTCTGGTCGAACCAGCTAGCCCCACCGACATGGTCGACATGAACGGCCACCATCAAATGTCGTCCCATCACCATCATCAGCAGCATCACCAGCAGGCACCGCCGCATCACCAGCAACAGCAGCAACCGTACTTTAACAACCTAAGCCCTCACCATCACCAACAGCAGCAACAGGTGGCACCCACTTCTGGTCACCACAATCAAGTGGTGGTCAACCCACACCAACAGACGCCACCGCTACAAACTCCTACGGCCCAAAACCAACAGGCGGTCAACAACAATTCGTTGCCGAGTCCACTGTACCCGTGGATGAGAAGTCAGTTTGGTAAGTTTATTTTTCTTGTCTTGTTCTGTTAACATTTTTTTGTCCCTTACTAAATCATATGTTTTGTTTAAAACCGGAGGCAGTGACGATAAGTGACTTTTTCATGATAAATAGTATAAAATTAACTATTTTGAGAATCGTTTGCTTCTTTGAAATGGGTTTTAGGCAATTTCTAATTGATGAAAACATCCAAGTTAAAATATAATCATAACGTCGTAATCCACGTCCTAACGATTATCGAATCGCGTTAAGTCAATGTATTCTGTTAACTGATATAAAGAGAAATGTCGTTGATTTTACGGGGGGTGAGGGGGGGGTTGTGAATCTTCATGCATCGTGATATTTTTAATATATGCTCCCAAAACATAAAGTATTCTTCGATATTTTGTCGATAATGCATAAATACTCGACGGTGTATACAAAGTGATTCAATGTTGATCGTTTTTCTTGGTTACTTTTAGGTACATGTTTTTCTCAATTTATTATCAATCATAAAGTATTTCTGGCCCAACAATTGTTATCTACCAGTGATATTTATAATTGTATAATTTTCTATTTTATAAGTCAGTTAAGTAGCCATTTAAAGAATTAAGTTAACATTCTAAAATGGTGTAAATAATGAACATAAAAAATATTTTATGATTGTTAAATGGAGAAATAAAAATGTGTATATAAAAGAATTCAAAAAAAAATAATTGTTATTATTTTTATTTTTCGATTAATTCAATCGGTAAATGATAAATGTATCATTTTGTAAATGAAAAAGATATCTCATTTTTAAAGTGGTTTTCAAACTTTCGCTAATTTATCCTCTCGATGCTCTAATTATCATTTTACACAAATTGTAACTCGTTCTTAAAATTCAATGTTTGATAGTTTTTTTATTTTACAATTAAAATTTTTAGTTTTTTTTTTTTTTTTAACATCTACTAAACCATTTTATTTTCGTGATAAACGTTGGCATGTATAACAGAAGCATGACATTTTACTTAACGTACATTTTTCAGCGTAATCGTTATAAAAAATTTCAACACAACGCTACAGGTACAGATACAACCGGCATATTGACCACCTACGGGGGAATCCCCAGGTGTTACTTTTTTGTCGGCTTCAGACGGTATGCGATTGACGTTAGATATTTGCCTCATAAAAAAATATTTTTCTTTACATCTTAATACCAAAAAAAAAATCAAGATTTGCGAGCATTTCGAATTTATCAAAATCAAATAAGAACTGGGTGGTTATATAATTTTCGACTACCTTATTACCTATGCGGTTGTTATTAAAACTATGAGTGTTTAATAAATTTGTAGAAATCACCCGAATGTCACACGTGACACACTCAGTTATAGAATAAATCGCGTTTGTATACATTGCGCGTTTTAGATGATTTTTTTAACGGTCAGATTAGTCCCACTGTGCAGCAAATGTTTACAACACTAATCTTTGGTGTTTTTATTTTATTATTATTATTTCCAAGAAAATCATTGCAATTTTATGGTTGTTTTTTTTTCAAATTAAAAACACACGTGTTTTATACCCGCACAGAATATCACAACAGTTAAATAAAATCTTGGGAGCAATACTGGTGGATATCTGTGCGTTTGATCCGGGATGCTTTGCCCACACACTTTTTATTTCTTTCCGACTGAGCCTGAAGGTTTCCGTCACGACCGGATCCACATATGCGTCTTCTTTTTCTTCCGTTAACGTACCGTGAAATGCATACACAACGTCGTCGTCGGTCGTTTTCCCGGACGCGCACACCAACAGTATCATCATGTGCAATGAAAGAAAAAAACCGCCGCTTTGGGTCATGAATTTCATGATTTTTTGGGGGACATAGGGTAGGAACTAACGGTCCGAAATTCCTTTCCGTCGACGGGTTCGGAAACACACAATCGGAGAAAGTACGCGGTTTCGCAATGAAATCGTCTTGTTTCGTTTCATATCTTTCATGGGTGTCAAATTTTGTGACCGAAAAACGGCCAAAAGTAAAAAAACGTATCACGCGGTCGCCGTTTGTTTACCAGCTTACCGTTTACACAATCCTTCGGCAAACGCAATCATAAATTACAAGCTCAACAAGTGTTCACTAACGCTCGCCGTTCCCCACTTAATTGCGACAACAGCAGTGTCGATTTACTCCCACTACAATCACATTAAAAACGACGTTTATTTTTTTTTTTTAATTTTAATGTCGAAAATCATTTATGTGTGCGTGATTTTCTTTCTTCGTTACGGTTGTTTTTAATTTTTTTACCATTTAAAGTCCAATATGATGGAATTACTGTGCCCCCAAACCCTTATTACGTAAAAAAAATCATATTCTCAAGTGTTAGAGGAAAACAATGAAATGATTTCAAGCTATAACGACTTGTAATTAAACAAAACCAAAGGTGAACAACTTTGAATTGAACACTGTTGACACAACGGTACAAAATGCTAGTCTAGATTACCCGAACGATTTTCCCTCGATGGTAAACAAGACAATTATAATAACATTAAAACAATATTATTATGATTTAGTAACGAATCTTACTTGACTTGTTCTCATTTGTATATATATATATATATATATTTATATAATCAAATAATAAGCATAACTCTAAACGATACACAGTAAAGTACACTTACGCCTAAGCACCCATTATTTCTTTTTTTTTTTTTCATAATGTTTTTCATTTTTTTACTATCCCATGTTTTATTTTTAATAAAATTTTTACTGTTATTATTGTTATTATTATTATTTGTTTTATTTTTTTATTTTGTTTTTACATAATTGCGGTAATTTTTGCAGGTCCAGACTCAGGTACGGATGAATTTGCGGTATTTTGGTAATATTTAAACATTCGTAGCTGTTGATAATACGTGGCAGTATTTTTTTAATTTTAATTATTATTTTTCTTCACCTAACCATTTATATATGCTTTTCTATTATACTTATCTTTGGTGTTGGTCGGTTATACTCTTGATCATCACTTCGGTATGGAGTGTACTATTTATTTTACTGTTCTTATTCACTTAAAGTAGTTAACTGTTTGAACTGTTCTTTTTATTTTCAAAAAGCATGATTTTTCAAGTCTAGTTACTACCTTATATTATGCACTGGTGAACATTTAATATTACAATGTTTTATTTCGTTTTTTAAGTGTTATAATAAAATGTACACACGAGTTTTATTGAAAAACGCATTTTATTTAAACAATCACTACGGTCAATTAATATAAATTATTTTCAATTGCTCGGCTTCATTGCGAGTTTTCTGAAAATCAATGGACAATGTTCAAATTAATGTGTTATGAGTATTCAACTTTTTCAACGAGGAACATCATTCTGAGAGGTTAGATTAACTCATAAGAAGTTCATTTACCCGAATGGTTTGAATTGCAATTAAAGTGTATGAAACATGGGTTGTTACAATTATTCATATTCATTATTTTAACTTGATTCTCAATTAACACAATGAAAATAATCATTATCGATATTGTGTATTGATTCAAAACCAATAAGATAATAATTCATTTAGATTTAATTTTTTTTTTTTTATGACTGGTCAGGGTTTAGTTGTTTAATCAAATAGAAGTCCTATTATCGTACACACGAAAAGACTATGTTTTAAAAACTACGTTCCGAAGGTATACAAATTTATCTGATGTTGAATCGTCATAATATTAATCAGTATTAAATGTTGTAAATTTTACGTTAATTGATATGAATTTGACAAATTTGTATTGCTGTAGGATTCCTACAACAGTGCAATTTTTTGAAATCTCTAAATTTAACGAATTTTTTCTGAAACGCACATTCATTGGTTTTAAATATTTAAATAGATAGTCTGCTAATTTCAGTATGAAATATGCTTTGATTTCGGCGTACAACGAGAGATGACTTATTCTCGTGTACGCACAATTGTATAGATGAAGTAATATATCAACATAATGGCGTGCACGAGACATTGTGGGAATTAATAAACGTCTCTTTTATCTCCGAGGACGCCCATCACGTGCTGCGTACCTTACTGCACGATCGATTTGCATGAGTCCGTCGTAATTTCCGGTTTTCTTGGTCCGGTTAAGTTTAATCTCCACGGCCAAAGCTAAACATCAAAAGAACTGAGAGCGTCCGGTAAATCCGTCAAAGTCACGGCGAGACCGCGGCTTATACATTCCACCCGGAAAAACCGCACACATTGCAGTTGGAACTTAAACATCCGAGATAAAAAATTCGGATGAATTATATCCGAGCTAGCTGACTTTAAGCTTACACACGGTCAAAATAATTTCACGTCGCATTTAAACCTTTCTTTTTGAACCGAGAGCTCAAAGTAGAAAATAATATCCGTTCTTGTAGGCAGCATACAAAAACGTGGGTCGTGTAAGTAGCGGANCGGCGAGACCGCGGCTTATAAATTCCACCCGGAAAAACCGCACACATTGCAGTTGGAACTTAAACAACCGAGATAAAAAATTCAGATGAATTATATCCGAGCTAGCTGACTGTAAGCTTACACGGTCAAAATGATTTCACGTCGCATTTAAACGTTTCTTTTTGAACCGAGAGCTCAAAGTAGAAAATAATATCCGTTCTTGTAGGCAGTATACAAAAACGTGGGTCGTGTAAGTAGCGGATTTTTTTTTTAGACTTTTTGATAAATGAAAAAATAGAAAAGCGCTTTTGTCGCTATTGCACGCGTATAATAGACCTGTCGTCTTTACGGTCTTCTGTGTGTGTGTGTGTGTGTTTCTTATTGTGGCTCAGCTGCCGCACAGATTATTGTTCGTAAGAGAAAAGCGACTGGATGCTGTGTAATCGACGAGCAGTAGGGGCTGGGGGAGTCGACGAGACCGAACAAAACCGACCGGTGGGGGGAGAGGGCAGGTCATAATTCATAAATGTCCCACTGATCTACAGATTATGCCGACGTCACGATTCTGTGGAATTATCGCTGTTGTGCACACGCGCGCCGTGCACAGTATGTGTGTGTATTAATAAAAAAATACACACTCTCTGATTTTATTCATACTTTTTGACGTTGTCACCGACCGAAACGGCATTTCTGAGTAATTTCCATTAAAAATTCACTACCGACATTTCATTAATCTTTATTCGTTATTGTTTTTAATCAATTCCGTCTTTTGCATTTTCAAATAGTCCGTCGGTGCCTTGTTAAAATAAAAAAAGAAGAAAAAAAAAATGAACGCTCCCCAGTATCCGTCAGTGTTTGTCCCTGTTTCAAAATGGTCGGTAAAAAGAGCGGTTGGGGGAGCAATCCGTCATATTGGGTACGTCGAGCAGCAGCCATGAGGAGGGTCGGTGTTGTTCGGAGTTAATTAACTTTGTGTGTCTCTCCGCCGCCGCCGCCTCCGTTTCAAACCAAACGGAGACTTCGTCTCGCCGCCGCCGTGTTTTTGTAATTAATATTTGCCTTCTGTCTGACAGACGCGCCATACTTGCCGATCGTATAGACGACATAGAAACGCTATTTTAAAGTTAAAAAAAAAAAAAAATACAAAACAGTAACATCGTGTCTAAAAATAATCGTCACGTCCAATGGGTGCGTGTTCGTATTTTAGCGCGTACTCGATTTTTTATATCCATTCACGACGTGTACAGGTTATTGTTTATTTCTTCCGAGTTGATGATTAAAAAAAAAAAACTGAGCTTTAATAATGGCACCAGTTTGGCAGGGACGGGGGCAGCAGTGTTGTTTTTTCTTTAGAAAACATAACGAACACTTAGAAGAGACTTTGCACGCTAGTCGGTGCGCAGATTTAACACTCCCCCGAGACCTTTTTTCTTGCGCCCGGTTCGCAATAAATTTCTACTCCTTTAAACGGCCGTCTCCTTATCCCTGTTTTATCTGCACCAGATACAAGAGACGATAAAATTTATAACAAAGACCCCATTGAAAGTGCTTTGAAAACAATTGTCTTCGCGTTTACTGTTGTGTGTAATAAGTGTCTTTTTGTTTTTGATGACATTATCTTTCTACGTTTAGCAAAGTGTAATCCATTACAAAATTATGATAAATCAGTCTCACAAAATATTGTCTGTGCTCTGGCTTGTTACTATGTGCCAATTAAAATTCTGGGCTACTAACCGATCCATGTAATAATCACGTGGAATATTTCGAGGACGTTATGCGCATTAGTGTTTTAACACTTAATTAATAGTTAGTTCTTCGTATTGACCTAGTATACGATTATTTCGTAATTTTTTTTTTTGACTACCTTGTACGCAGTTTTGGCGATGATGAAATTATACCAAAATATTCAACAAAACAGGACAATATAGTTTTGGTTAAGCGTTGTTTTGTTTTTCTTCTTTGTAGTTATTCATTGTCAATTATTCTATACAGTTATCGTTCAAATATTGTGCACATGGTATTTTTAAAATATTTTTGCCATGTACTCTTTCACCTAAAATCTCCATTGCTTTCATTACATTGTGTATTACTTGACTAAAAGTAAACACCTCCTATTGGCTATGAATCAAACATTACGATTACAGTTTCCCATGACCGATTTGCACATGTTTTCTGAACCACGTGATCGGAAAAAGTCCTTAAGAAACGCGGACGGCATTCGAGTAGCTATCACTAATTAGTCATTAGAGAGTAAACATATTTATATATCTTACAAATGTTACTCACTACTCCGACACACAATTATAACGTGATATTGTTTTTCATTGTATTTAAACACAATATAACGATGTACATGTTATATGGCAACGTATAGCGGCTATATAAATTGTTCTTATGGGCATCGTTGTGTCAATGTTAAGGTCGTTTAATGTACTGTTTCATTACAACTAATTCGAAAACATTTGTACGCTCCTATATAACGAAAAGCAATAATGAATTAGTACTTCTCGTATACGTAATTAGCAACCATAAGTGCAAATCTTCCTTTTGAATTCAATTAGATATACAAGTTAAATTAATTTTCACTCGATCGAATAGAATTGTAATTTTGTTTCTTTTTTTTTTATTGACATTTTGCTGTATGTCTAAAATAAGTGTTATTTAATTATTTGTTTCCCTTCTCTATTAAACTATTTCCACATATTTTTTTTCATTATATGTTTTATGTTACATAAATTATACTTACCTATATGTATGTGGCTCAACAAAAACCTATTTTTGAAATTTTCACGAGATATCTCCTAACTTTATTAAACATATTGAAATAGACCTTTTGTGAAAACTTGACATTTAAACGAAAAAAATTTGCTGGTCTCTCAACTGCGTTTAAAGTTATTTGGCCAATAATTCCACGAAATATAAAAACTGTATTTTATTATGTTTTTATAAATGTTTAGTCAAATATTGATATTTAATTTGTACAATAGTATTACAAAAAAAAAAAATTTTATTCCAAAATTAATTATGTAAAAAAAAGTCGAATTATGTGGTAAACTTCTAATAGTACACTAAAATAGCCCAAAGATTTTTTTTGTTTTATAGTTATATAATTCTATACTAATGTTAAAAATGAATACTTTTTTTATAATTATAAATGAAAAAAAAAAATACACGACGTTGATTAAAATAAGTATAAATATAATCAATTTATACCATGTTTATTTATATATTTTCCTTGTTTATTTTAAAACAATAATAATATTATACACACATTTCTAAATGATCGTATAAAAATAGATAATTTTTATGACATTAAAACTGATTTTCTACAATCGGGGTATTCGTTTCGATGTTTCTCTACCACTTGTAACAAATATTGTCTTTGTTCTTCATCGTTTGTGAGACAGTTATTAAAATGTGTCATTAAGGCGACGCCGCGTTCTGCTGGATCATTGACTACAAATAAAGATTGAACTTTAGTTTTAGCCGAATTGTAGTTTGAATTTCGATACCATGTATTTGGATCGTCGTTTAAAAAATCTTGGTTTATGTCAAGTGCTGAAAATAGTTTTCGCGTGTTAGCTGTTATGAATTGATACGCACCTTCATTTTCTTTTATAGTTGCAATTTCAATTCTTTTTTTTGGATTGATCTCGCCCTTTTTACTTAATGATTGTACCATTTTATTTTTGTCATCCGTTGATAAGTCTTCGTTAAAAAATGATAATCCTGCAATCATTTCATTGAGGTACCACAGATGTCCGGAAAAAGCTTTCAAGGCGACTTCGCTTATGGACTCGTCGATAGTATTGTATTGTTTTAAGTCTTTTATTAGATTAAAGTCGTTATTTGGCGCTTTTGTTGCGTACGAACTCTCGAACCAATATTTAATATAAATTTTTAAAACAAACGTATTAAATAGCTGTATACTTTTTAATTCAGAAACGGTTAATTTAAACTGTGTGCGGAACATGTAAATTTTAAGACAGTACATAATTTTTGCCATCCATCTAGCTCGGTGGATTGCTCCGGGCGGATGAAATGATAATTTTTTTGAACACTCTTTACCAATAAATAACAAACAAAGTTCTAACAATTCTTTATAATCATCGCGTGGGTGGTTTAGCTTTAATTTATTTTCACAGAATTGAGAAATCGTCCCTATGTCTGGTGCTAGTTTTTCTAATACAACATCATCGGTCAACATACTGCAATACAAATCTTTATTTATATTTTTCCAGTTATTCGAAAACCTTTTGAATAAAGATACGTCTGGTCCATTCGTTTCTGGCATTAGTTTATTGAATACTCTACTGACGATTATTTCATGTATGTGGTGTCGGCACGCGAAACTCAACAGTTGTGTGTTTAATTGTTTTTCAATTAACACACACGCACCGTTAAGTCTGCCGGTGTTTGATGCCGTTGTGTCAAAACACATCATAGTAATGCGTTTCTGTAAATTCCAATCGCTTAATAATTTAACGACGGCATCTGCTTGACATTGACCAGTGGAATTCGATAACTTTGGAACCCCCAGAAGTTTAGTGTCGCCATCGCCAGATACCAACACTGCTAGGCGATCGACGCTGTTTGTTTTGTCCTGCGATGGCAACATCTTTCCATCCCAGTGGACCATCAGAGTAGTATCCGATTTGAAGGATTTCACTATGTCGTCATTGATTATTTTCCTATTGCAAATGCGTGCTCTCCGAATGGAGTCTTTACTTATAGACAGATCGTTGATATTTTTATACGAAGACGTCAAAGTGGCCGCCAAGATATAAGTGGCATTTCGGTTAGACGTGTTTGTTCTGTCTAATGCTGACGTCAGTTGCGGTGTTAGGATTGTGCTTCGTTTTTTATTTTTTGTTGTCGGTTGCCCGAGAGCATATTGCAATTCTGAACAACTAGTATTTTGAAAACTATCGTCGTCGGCGCTAGAAAGTCTTTCCAATTTTTTTCGCGTACCGCGTTCGAGTTCTTCAAAGTCTACGGCTTTTTGGCTATTTTGATTCGAACGTGTAGTTCTCGACGATATGTTTTGATCGGAACAGTCGGCAGTTTGTTGATAAATGTAATATTCGTCGTCGTTATTTGACTGATTGAATTGAAAAGAATACGAAATGTCAAAGATATCATTTAATGATTTCAAAAATGTGATTTCTTTATTGTTTTGAATAATTGTATTTCTATTTTGATTCTTTTTTATATTTATCCATCGCTTATGTAATAATTTTATTTGTGAAATTATATTGCACTTAAGCTTAATGGGAAATTTGCTTTTCGGCCATACCTGAATTATGTGTTTTGAACAATCAATAGCACTCGCCGCTATTGTTTTCTTGGCGACTCTATGCAAATAAATGAAATGACTAAGAACATTGAGTTTTGTCGGAAGCTGTTTGCCAAGTAAATATTTTTGTGGTGCAATATTTAGACGATGAGCTTTTGTTTTGCAATTATCCATTATCAACTAAAATTAAACAAATAATTTACTAGGAAATTCATTTATTTGAAAATAATTTACTAACGTAAATGAATACATGAACCAAATAATAGTAATTTTTTATTTTTATAATTAAAATAAAAATATACGAAAGAATTTATATGTATATATAAATAAAAATGTAAATTTTCCAACTGTCATTAGAAATTCCATTAAAATAATAATAATAGTTAATTTATATAAAGGTATATATGAAATATTTTTCCTTACCTATTGTTGTTAAATGACCTCAAGAAACGTGATTTATTAAAATGGAATGAAACTAAAAGAAAATCTTATTAGTTAAAAGTCGTATTGGACTACAACTTGACGAAAAGGTTCGTTAAATACAACTAATAGATTTTAATTATCATTAGACTGCTTGTGATTGTGTTACTGAATGATTTTAAATTAACAGATAGTACAATATTCAGATATCGTTTGGAAATTGATTAATTTAAACAGAAACATTATAATTACAAAACAATTTATTAGTTTTTTGACATTACCGAAAACACTTTTCGTGGTCTATTCAAGTGTATTATTAGAAATTTATCACATAATTGCACTTTTTGTGGATGTTACGTAATAAATTTTGGAATTTTTCTGCAATGGAAATCGACACGATTTAAATGTGAAATTTCACTAAAAATTAAATAACAAAGTACGGTATTTTATTTTTGGGGTATTTCTGGTCAAATTACTTGAACTGCGTTGAGTTGTTAGAAATTTATTTTTTATAACATTAATCATTTTACGGGACGTATACTTTAACGTGCTCATTAAAGTTAGGAGGTATCTGATCAATGTTTGGATTATCGAAATTTTTTGCGTCAGTCTAATGCACATTTCTGTAATTTTTTATTTTACTTCAATATTAATAGGGCGCGCAGTGTATAATTTTCCGTTACTGGGTCCCTCAGGAATTTTCTCATTTCCTAATTGGCTTGGAAAAAATTACAAATTAAACTCGACTGGCCTGTCATATTATATACCCCCCGACTGTGGCACAACCTCCCAGGAGGTCGACATATTTGTTTGACATGTACTCATATACGCGTAGCCCTATTTTTATTTTTTGTGAATCTCTCTCCCTTGTATATATTTTTATTTCCCCTCTCTCACTCTAACTGTATTATATACATATATATATATTTCTTTCCACGGTAGTTTTTTCATATGTAACACGACGGCGGTTGTTTGGGACGCGACCGGTCGTCCCCGGTGGGAACTGTTGCCGTGTACCTCACTCCGTCGGCCCGGAGGCCATATGAACCGCCGCTGCCATAAATCTTCGTCACTTTTGACGCAACGTCTGCCCGCCCCCCTCCGTTTGCCCGTTCTCTTTTTATACGCACTAGTCTGCTCGCTCACTCTATCCAACGGCTTGTCCCGTGGCGCGTATAGTGTACAACGGCGGTGACCCCATCACGACTTTCTTGTTTCGGCGTACACGCACCGGATTCGGGTCTCCCTTTTTAAAGAGCTCCGCGTACGGAGTATAGACATGCGTCTCGCACATGAAAACCCCGAATCTTCTTTATTCTATTCCCCTCGCGCACTATTCACACCAACGTTCCGTTCTATGTTTATCCGGCTCCAGTTCTCCCCTGCACACCACCTTCTATTAATACACGTCCTCTCGACAGGCCTCTGACACGAGAATTCTATGCGTGTGCGTCCGAAACCGGAAGATTACAGGACAATGAACGACTGTCGCTTCTCCGAGTGTACACAATCTCTCCCAAAGTCGTACTCCCTGCCGTTTGCCGTTTATGTCCCCCCCCCCAATCCGTGTTCATGGCGTTAATCGCACCTTTGCCGCCGCCGTATCACTTCCTCGGTTTAATAAAACCCGTTCATTGCTCTACGTGCTAATACATTAATAACATTCAGCTGTCCAAGTCTGCCGCCGTCACTGTGGTGATGGTATTTATGTCGTCTGAGATATCCAAACCGACTGCTGCGAGTTTAGCGCTCGATGAATTTTTATTATAAGTACTCCGCTCGAACATATTTAGTGTTATTAAATTTACATTCTTATTACTTAATGTCAATCGGCATATTAATCATAACATCGTTGTTTACTGATAAGTACTAACAATAATGTTATCTAATTGACTATTGTTCGAAACTAAATCGTTACAGTTTTCAGTTTTGTTACCAGTCGATATTCCGACCGTTTGTTTGTTATAAGTAGATAATAGATGTGGAGGAGCAATTAGTAGTAGCGATTTGTGCTAAATACGTGATGAATTTATAATTATACGATAGGAAATCGTTCTGTTGAAATATGTTCAATAACATTCCGATAGATAAATTGTTAATCGTTTCGAAAATTAATAAATGTGTATCGTTTTATTAATTTTATACGTAGTCGACTGTTATTTAGATTTTGCTCTCCGTAGTATAATTGAAATCGTCAAAATATAACGAGACAGTAAATTCATTTTTAAACCAGTCGTTCTTTTGGCTCGAAAATATCATTTTTTTTTTCAAATAATATCAATTTATATACACTATTATTGAATCACACGAGCGTGTCATTCACTTGGTATAACAGTTGCTAATAAATACTGTATTATTTTCCATCGTCATAGTTACATCTAGATGGCGACTCGTGTTTGGTGGTTGGGTTATTAAAAATGTGTGAACTATTTAACGTCATATGAATAATTTTAATGCCGAAATTAATTCTATAGTATGTTTATCCAGAGCTTAGAAAAATCCTTAAAAAGGAATTTCTACGGGTTTTTTTTTCAGCGCTGATGTTTTATTTTTATTCTATTTAATTTGTACAGTTTTCTGTGGTTCGTCGAAAACCACAAAATGCCAGTGTATCCAAATTCTATTCGGTCGACACCTTTTGATTGGCTTTCAAAGGGATTGTCTCCCCGTAGAATTGCCGGGGACAGAACAGGTACTAATAACGGCCGCGGGAATTATGTTCGCAGCCGCGTGCGACAATACCGTTTTTTTATTCGTATTAAAAACTGGTTAGGACCTTAACAACGCGGCAAGGAGTCATTGAATAATATACACACAGTATAGGGTTAATAATTGGTTTTGACACCCGTAGTATATGTGACATATATAATACCAGCCCTCCAATGGCAATATCACCGTTTCTCTTTCGAACTTTTTAATGTAGTTATTATGTGGAGACGCGCTCTGACAATGGAAGTACTTTAATGCGTCCAAAAATGTATTACTTTAGAGGGGCAGGTTTTATGTGTTAGTACAATTTTTTTTTTTTTTTTTTTTATAACGCATTTTATGCGACGGTATTGCGTTAAATGGTAGATCACACGACAATCCAATAATATCAGCTTTTTTGGTTTGCTTAATAACAGCTATTCGAATCGCTATTTGGCAGTGTTTTTATCAACGTCTATGACCCTAAATTTTTCATGTGACTCTAGTACAACGGACATTTGTTTATTGTTACAGAAAGGAAACGCGGTCGTCAAACGTACACCAGATACCAGACGTTAGAGCTGGAAAAAGAGTTCCACTTCAACCGGTACTTGACCAGGAGACGAAGGATAGAAATTGCGCACGCGCTGTGCTTGACCGAGCGGCAGATAAAGATTTGGTTCCAAAACAGGAGGATGAAATGGAAAAAAGAGAACAAAAGCAAAGGAGGCGACGGTCAGGGTGGAGACGGTAGCGATATAACTCCTCAGACTTCGCCTCAGTAGACGGACCGTTCCTAATTAACGCAATGAAATAGGGGTAGCCCATACAGAGGGGGAAACTAAAAACTACACGGCAGTTTTGTGTGTGCGCTTAGGACGAACTTGCTCTGCTACGGTTACCATGTGTTTGGTTGTTTGCGCCACCCACGTGCTAAACACCGTCAATGTTAGTCGATGGCAATGTATAGAAATTCATTTCAATAATTTTATGTAATTCTCCTCGAGATGATATAATTTAGGTAACTTGTATTCTAAGATTTTGTCTAAGTCATTATGTCATAGGGTTTTTATTTTTGTTTCGTTTAATTTTTATTTAGTTTTAAGTAAAAATAAAATTTATAAAAATATTTACACTCGTAAGCATTGTATGTTAAAAGAAAAAACGCAAAAATATTTACACTATAATATGTTTTGCTGTCTACACACAACAGTGTTGCTTTTTTTTTTTTATTGAAACGTGCCTGGGGTACGATCCATAGAAAAAAACAATACGTGGACGCGCACAAGTAATGATAATGTGATGTGTGTAGTGTAAAATGGGCGAACCTGCCTGCGCTCTGGATCTCAAAAAATCAGCTCAAATAACACGTTCTCAGTCCGCTGCTCTGTTATATTATTATTATTATGTTAACTTAGAAATATCGATTTTAATTTCCAGGACCAGTTTTTTTTTTTTTTACCTTGTGCCATTAGGAAATAGACTGCACCACGGTTCGCGTCCGATATATTCAGGTGTGGGTTAGGCAATACTATCAAAATTAACGCGTTCCAATAGAATAAAAAACGGTGTTGGCATTACAAGCAATGAAAATATCTGTCTATAGTCATAATTGTATCTGTGGGCGTCGACCGTGGTAAAATTGCTAACGTACCAAAGGTGGTATTTTCGTACTTTCGTTTTTGTTTCGATTTTTTTTTTTTTTTTTTAATGTAAAATATTCTTAGTTTTAAAAAACGTGTGACTAAAGTTAAATTGAATAAATACGTAGTTATAATATAAATTAAATATTATTTATATAAAAATGTATATAATGTTTAGAATTTGTACATAATATTGTATTTAAGAAAATGATGTTTATAATTAAAGATCGGTCCATGCCACTTTTTGTTTACTTCGTTTACCCACAAAAGAACTATTATTATATATTTTAAATTGCATATATATATATATATTTTTTTTTTTTGTTCAAATTCACGATTTTAATAATAATAAATTATATTATACTAATGGATTCAACTATGTATTAATTTATACTTTGACTTATTTTTTTTTTTTTCCTAATAAAGAATGGTTAAAGTGTTAAGTGCAATTTTATATTAAAGATAGACAAAATTATTTATTTTTATTTTGTATAGAGTTTAATAATCGTCGTGTTTTCTGAAATAATATTATATCAATTTATTGTTTCATAATAACTCGGTCAGTTTCTTTTTTCGATTAAAATTTTTAACTTTCTATAACTATTTCTCTTTTGTAAATACAGAACGTACCTAAAAAATATTTATACGAATAGTGTTTATTATTTTTTTTCATTAAAAAAAAAATCGTAACAACTTAACACTATTTTATTATTTAATAATGTACAGTACAGAGAAAATCTATTTATATATAAATATATTATACATGTATAAAACCAAAAAATAATATGAAATTTTATTATTATTATTATTATTATTATATATAGGAAAGAGCGTGTGTGTGCTGGTAGATACTTTATTTTATTAACCATTTTGTTTTTCTTTGTTTTTTTGTTTATTATTATTATTATTATTATTATTTAAGCTTTCTCGTAAATTATTTTATATTCCGTAAAAAAGAATACCTGGCAAGGATTACCTCAAATTTATTTTTTACATTTTTGATGGTAGCTGGTAAACAGTGTAAAATGACAGCAACATATATACGTAACAACTAAGTCTCGTTTGTAATTATTATTTTTTTGAGTCGTGATAAATAGTATAATGTTGAGTACTTATTGTAATTTTATTGTAATGCCAAATATTATGACAAAGAATATGCAAACTATTTTCGATTGGGAATTATGATAATAATAATTATTATGTGTAATAAAAAAACGGTCAGTACAATGAAAATATATTACAACAACCGAACGCTTAGGCGTTCATGATAAGTTCCTCGTAAAAAATATTAGATTTAGTGTTCGTTACGATATTTTAGATTAATTAAGTAGAATTTTATGTTAATTTAAAAATGAACATTTTTTTTTTTTAATAAACACTATAATGAAATAAAAAACTAATACTTTCCGTTATTTATTTTCCCGGTTGACCACATGGTTGACTTGAAATTGTCTTTATGCGTTAAGTCTTTACACACTTGTGTACGAGGTGTTGTAAATTCTAATATGGCAGTGGAAGTCGGTAATCATTGTCGATGAAACATCAAAGAGCGGTCATTTCGTACTTATGATTACTGTCCAGTTTAATAATTATTACTAAAACAGACCAAATGATAAGCGAACAAGTAAAATCAAAAGTTTGTATGATGTGTGAATTATGATAAACGGTTAAGAGTAGTGTTTCACTTTCTGGTCTATTATTATCTCAACTGATAGTATCACGAGTTATTGCATACCTCAGAATGACAATCTGAGGTATGCAATCTGAAAAATGAAAAAGTTTTGATGCTGTCAATAATATTTCAGCGGCATACATAAGTAGAAGTATATGAATTCATCGACACCGTTCGAAAAACAATTCGAGTTCGTTGTGTTTTACAATAAAAAAAATCTCTTAATAACAAAAAGTGCTGCGTTGTCGGTGTGAAATTATTATATAATTCGCGTGTAGAAAGTAAACAGTGCAATCCAACGTTATTTTTTAACAGTAGTTAAACTATCGTGTTGTGCGAAAAGTGAATTTCACGTGTGAAACTGAACTGGCTCCGTCGCGAGGAATACGCCGCAACACAACGACGTGTACAATTAGTCTATCGATGTTGGGTGAGTTTTTCGTAAAAAATAAATGTAGCGTTGACTTCGGCATGTTATTACAATACTACTTAACATTGATGTTATTGGGCAGCGTCTACTGTAGTTTGATAATTTCTCTGATTCTGTAAACAGTTATCATTGCCAGAGGGGATTTGTTGGTCAAGCAAAAGCTAACGGCCGCTATTTTACTGCACTAACAGCTCATTTCCCCACGGCGACCTGAACACGCGCACACGGTGTATTTTAATAATAGTTGAAAAAGCTGTCATAAGTATATATTATGGAAGTTTATCACTTCCGCGTCGGTACCACATACAAAAGCATCAGCCAACGAAAACTAAACTGCGAGTATTTTACGGGCAAAAGTGTGTGTATGTTAGTGTGCGGCAGTGATGAGCCTTCCACCCACTGCAATATCTCTTGCTCCTCGTTTGTTGCCGGCAACCGTCGACGCTTTATAGGGGAAGTCGGTTAACTCTCCTGACTCGGTTCCCTTATCGCGAGCACCGCATAAATCAATGCGCACCGAAAACCCATTGAGAAATGCTCGCGCGTTATTTTTTTTTTTGTGTTTTGCCAAAAAACATTTCACACGACCAAAACTCGAATATGATTTCTTTGCGTGCACTTCGCTAACGATCCGATTTCGCGCCCCTACCGATCTAACGACTGCTCTCATATATTTTTTCAAGGATACCCAATCGTTTTCGATACTTTCGACCATCGTTGTTTTAGGTTTGGGTTTTTTGTCGAATTCGAACGGATTAAAAGTCGGTCGATTACAACGCCGTTTGCGCATCAAAAAAAAACAATATTATACTTTTGACACGAGGAATATATTGCAAAGCGATTTTTATACTTGTTTGTTCTTATCGCCTGGATCGATTGATCAAACCGTGTGCTTAATTACTGTTGTTTTTGCTTGTACGTTGGTTTTAATGAGTTTTTATTGTGCTCGCTTTTGCTTCTGTAGTTTAGTAGAGTCGTGTACGACATGAAAACGCATGTCGAGTTGTTTTTTCATGTCCATAAATATTTACGCACACGTAACGGCAATGGTACCGATTGCACATATTATGTGAATGCTGTGCACTGGAGGGACGGCGACCGGTGAGGTAACGGCCTGCGCTGTGCTGGCGACGGCCGAGTGTGTACAGTAGCTGACAGCGGTCGTATATGTGCTGCGTGTACACAGATATACTTGTATGTGCGTGCAGGGGAAGTGTGCCGGGGAGAGGGTCATAAATCAATACCCGTGCTGGCAAGGGGGGCAGGCGGCGACGATAGCAGCCAGCCCGGGTTCGGCCGAGTGTACAGGCAAACAAAACAATGCCGAAAATCGTCAAAATACCTCTCGAGCTTTTCATGACCTCGCGATTTCTGCCACTGCAGCACCAGTTCGGCGGCTTTGTGAGTTATGGCCCTTTGATTGTGTGTGTGTGTGTCTTTGCGGCGGATCGCTGTGCGCGTGTATATGTGAGCGTTTAAACATAACGCGAGTGTCCGTCGGTATCGCCCAACAGCAGCCACGTTCTATTCATCGGAGAAAGGGTTGTGTGCGAATAATGGAATTCCACATTGACGGAATTCCATCGAGGCGTTTTAATTGGTTTGCACAATGATATTGTATTTATCGATTAATGAAGTACAGTCGGCGGGGGGGGGGCATTTGTAAAGAACACTTCAAATCGCGTTTTAATCGAAATCTCGTTCGATTCGTCTTGCACGTTTTGAAAAGCGTGTGTCGTAGTGCTATTTAATCGATCACACGTCATTGAAGTTCGCCGATGACATTTTTTTGAAAGCAAACATTTTTTCGTAATATATTTTTTTAAAACTCGTCCGAATGGCACATCCGTCGTTAAACGGTGTCCATAATCATCGGTGGCCAACATCCTAACAAACCGTTACGACGGCCTGTTAATGGACGACGGGGACATTATGGACGCGCGTGTTTTACGAGACAGCAAGTAGTAATAAGAAAGTGCGAAATAGATTTGTGTGTATACACTTGATGGTAGTGCAGTCGGCGTTTATCTATCGGATGGCGGAGTGCGGACGATAAATCACCGGGTCCCTGCGACCGAATGACGGGTGGGTCAGTAGAGGGGGGTGGAGAGGGTGTGAAGCGGACGGATGAACGGGCAAATCGGCGAGAGAAACAACAGCAGTTACGCGAATTGAGACGTCATAGGTATTTTATTCTCTGGGTTTCGTCAGACGTTACCGCTTAGACCCCCTCGAAGCCGTCACTGTCAGTCGTGTTGTTGTTGCTGCTATTATGCGCATACAATGACATGGTATCATCATTCTAGAGTAGACGTTGTCGTCACGAGCGTCGTCGTTCTAGTAAGCGGGACAACAATAGTCGGCAGCGGAGAATGTCTTGCGTGCGGCGGCTTCCCTGGCCGTAGCGCTGCAGCGTACCGAATACGACGGCTGTCGTACGCAATATTACTACAACGCACGTACGGCACAATCAGGGCCAAGGCACCGACGACGGCAGTTCTCAGTGCGTGTACGGCCATGTTGGATTTTGGGTGTGGTACCGGCAGTCACTCCCATTTTCAATTTGTAACTGTCAGTCAAACGGCCGCGGGGCAACGCCTTGCCCGGACGCCATTGGCCACCAGTCCGATCTGAGACTCGTTTAATAAATTACATATCATTTATATTAGTGCCGCTGTCGTAGTTCCCTCACCTGTCCTCCGGCCGCCAAACTACCTGGCGTAAGGCGGCGCGGGGTGACGACAAAGCCATGCAAGCAAGTGCTGGTGCCTACCGGTTGACGTGCACACGAGTTGATTAAAAAAATTGACTTTTTAATGTATTACGACGTTAAGGAAACAAAAATATAAACGATTTTCTGATAATATTATCAATTGATATTTTGCTTGCGTAGTAAATGATTTTTAAATAAATAAAATTCGATGGTTTTTTGAAAAACTGAAAAATATTATTACAACGAGACAAATAATTTTAGTAATAATTAAAGTTATTTAGTATATTGTTAGGCAAATCATCAAAAATAAATTCTAATCGCATGAACTATTTTAAAATATTCAAGTTAAGTTTATATTTTGTTATTGTAATTTAAATTAATTAATATTGTTTGTATAATGAAAACAAAAATTAACAATTAAAAGAAGTTTGTCGGATGATAAGTTGATTTTTTTATGTTAAAACATAAATTTAAATTCTATTTTGATTGTACAAATTGAATATGTTCCAGTTATAATATCATTCACATAATATTTTCTTATATTGATTAATTACTTTAAAGTGCGTTAAAAAATGGTTTAATATTTGTATTTCATTTTGGCCAATTGATTTTAGAAAAATGTTACCTGTATAATTTAAATGCAATAAAAAATTCAAATCAACGAGCGTATTTTAGAATAATTTTCATAGTAATGAGTAAATTAATGTTTTGTTTAGTCAACTAATTTAAATCAGTTTATTATTTTATAATTTCTGTTAAAATTACCGTTTACATAGTTTTCTGTTTCGAATTACATTTACCGTTTTGAAAATCGAAAAATAAAGCAAACATTTAATAATAATAATATATAAGAATTAAATTTTATTACAGTAATTCAATATAAGAAACTATCGTCAAAGATTAAACAATTCTTTAGCTGAATGTGATATTTTATTTTTTCCTGTAGCTCTATAATTTCATTTTAAAATTAGTTTTTAATTAATTTTAGAAGTATGCGTTATAATATGAATATAGTAGTTTAACAAGTTAACGTAACAAATTATAATAATTATTAGTTGAGAAGATATAATAATTACTAGATGAAAAATAACTAGAGGACTACTATAGGAAGTCAAACACAATAATAAATATGCATATTTTACCAAAAACTGCCTAAAGCACAAAAAAATAACCCAAGTGTTAATCCAATTAGTTAGTAAATATATTTTTCATATTTTTATATTATTTTCAGTTATAAAAAAATCGGCATGTTGAGATAATTTATGTGGGTAGGACTCGACATAACGACACATATAAAAAGCAACGGGTCGAATGATTGAACTACAATAATCGTAAACATCACCAATTTAAATAGAGTGCTGCAACATTGGCAGTTTCTGTCAAATATTTGTGCGTACTATTGACATAATTTTCATTACATTAGGCGAGTTACAAGTTGATGACTAAATGAGTAAATATTCATATTAATAGATAACGTAAAATCGATTGACATTTGTTTCTATCAAACGTGTACTGTACCGAACAAGATCGGGCGGGCGACATCGACGTAAAAAGACAACGAGATGCACATAATTATGCGGACACG